AGAAAATAAACTTTACTTAAAAAAAAAAACAATTTCATAATTTTTTATTTTTTTCAGAACCCCTCTATATTTACTACCTATAATCACAAAACAACAACAAAATAAGTTAGGGTTCTAATATTAATCTCAATATAATTAATATTATAAAATTCATATATTACCCCAACATAATTACTACCTATAATCATGCTTTAAGTACCAAGTTTTAATTTACTTCCATATAATTGTTGATTCAATAATTTTGCCAAATGATTTCACTGGTTAGATTTGGATTCTCGAGGATTCCTACACAATGATCTTGGTCTTCATGGGATCTTTGTATAATTTCTTTCTTCAATCCATTGACTCGCTGTTGACAGAAACCAAGTGTTGTATTTAAGTTAGCGATACCCCATTGCATGTTCCCAGATTAGATCTACTGAGACTCATAGATACATCAAAGTGAAGTAGAATTCTCAATGATTCCTACACAATCTTGGTCTATTCGAGAAAACCACTTTTTGAGCATTTAACTAACTCCACCCATACCAAGAAGTACTATGAGTGGTCCTAGAACAGATTCTCAATTTCTCATGATCGTCATTACTAGCTTTTGTATGATTTATTTCTTCATCCCTTGAATAGAAAGGGGTTATTGACTGGAACCAAGTGCTGATTAATAACCCAATTGCATAATCAATGGGTAAAGAGGTGCAGCTAGATCTGGATTCAAGTTCAACCATATCGGCAGAGTCAATAGCTAAAGGCTACATGTAGAGAAGCACTAATACCACCCATCAAAAAAAACCATGAAATTGATATAATGACAGTAAAACCAGGACCAGTGGTTGATATGCTCCATCACCATATAAGAGATTAAGAATCATTTAAGGCTGTCAAATTATTTATGAAACAATAGCACAAGGCAAAGCATGTAGACGACAAGCTTTGATATCCATCAACATAAACAGAGAGTACAACAAACACTACTTAGGCAGTGAGATTGTTAACTTAATACTAAGCAAAGCAGAGAAATGATCGATATAATCTTAATATATCATTACTCTTTGTATTATTAAACTATTGAGTGACTAATCTTCCAATAACAGGTACATCATCTAGGGTTAGATGCAAATCATTAACAACTTCCATCTTTTTCCCCAAAATGATTCTCATACAAGAGTTAAATTAAACATCTATTGAGTGAATCTATGATCAAATCCAAATTGGAATTATCAAACTAACACAAGCATTCAATTAACAAGGTTAAATCTTCAATTGTAAAATGAAACACACACAATTTATTGATTTATATATAAAGCGTTACGAGTATTGAACAATTTTCCCCAATTGTATCAGTTTACAGACTAGGAAAAAACCAACAGTTTTAACTCAATGAGCAATTACATCACTATTCAACACACCGTTGCTTCCACCATTAGATTCAATTATTGAATTTATAGGCAGATTCAAATTCATCATCATCATCGACGAAACTGACCTAGCAGCGGCTAATTTCTTCCTCTTGAGTGAATAAGGACCATAGATCTTTCTCAATAGATGCGGTACCTGATCCATCGTCAGATTTTGCGCCGCCGTGACTTCATCAACGGAGATCTGAGAAGCGGAGGACGGATCGAGTACGTTCGGGAGAGAGCGAGTTACTAGAGAAGTGGTAGATCTAGCGTTGATTCTCGAGTTTCGGATCTGAGCAAGCGCGCCTGGTTTCAAGTAGCGGTGGAATCCGTCGTTTCTTCTCACCGGAGATCTAGAAATATCTTTCATGGATACGATTCGGGTTGGTTAGATGGAAAAATCTGAGTATCC